GTGATAAAAGGTGATATTTGTTTTGAATACTTCTGAATGTCTTATAAGATTTGATTTTAACATTCTGCCCCCAAACCCCTATACAAAATGAGCGATACCAGTGACAGAATTATGGGTAATGTTTACTGTCTCTCCCACTCTCGTATGCCTGTTAAGGCAGAGGGGTGTGATTGTTATTCTTTCTCACTGGCGCCGTCATAGCCAAGAATTCAACTTCTGTCGCACCCATATGTCACACCCGTTTATAGGGCGGACATATTCATTCATCCATTCATTCATCCACAGATCGTAATTTTGACCTGAATCAGAGAACGGTCGATCCCCTATCCAGTACCCCCGGTGGTATTGATTTGTTATGGGGACATTGCGACTCGAAAGATTTAATGTGCATCAGTCACCCTTTACTACACGGGGATTCTTTTGTCGGCGGGTTCGAACCCACGAACTCTCTGACATGAGCCCAGTGCCCTACCGACCAGGCTATCCCGGCTTCATTGTTTACAGTGTGATCGAAAAATACCTAGTCAAACTTTACAGGAGAAATGTCTTTTAAGCGATCTTTGTGCTTTGTGTACGTTCGTAGGAAGGCGTGATTGAGCCGTATATCCTACTTCGTCACTTGGATAAGTCTTACACAAACTGAAGGCTGTTATGCAACAGTGAATTAGGTGATTTATCTGTCTGCTTCACAATGGAGATCTGGAATTCTTTAGTCCAGGATTAACTAGGACGCAACTTATCGACTCCAGAGCATCGGTCATGAAGAATCTATTCCCTGGCCACTACGATCAGAATATCTGTTCTGTAGGGCTCTTGAAAAGCAATATCTAAGTGGACTCTGACGTAGATCTCGTCGCCAGATTGTATGTTGCTTCTTTAAAAGTGCCGGACACAGCTGCCCCTTACATGTGCCCACTTCCCGCAGTGGACTGATCGTTAAGACACGGTTCCCACCAGATCACCGAAGTCAAGAATCACTGGCTGCTGTCAGTATGCGGGTGGGCCGACTATTTGAATCTATTTGTGCAGGGACTGAAAGTGTGTGGTTTGGGTCCTCGTTAAACTAAGTGCTCGATTCAAGCGATGTATTTGATGTTATTCGTTCTATTTTTTTTCGAATTTTAAATATTTTTAGTATCATACAAATTTAGCTTTAAACATTCGCGTGTGTGACATTAATTTTACTAGTTTAGTTCTTTTCTTTTAACTATATATCAATGAATTAAGAAGTCATGAGAGAGTTACATCTGTAGCTCTCATTCATAACACGCAAGTCCCGGGTGTAGTTTAAAGTGCCAATCAATAACACACGGCATCATTTATGATTGTAGTTAGTTAGTTTTAGTTATAAATTAGTTATACTCGGTGTCAACTGAGAATTACTTTTTGGAAAAATTTGTAAATGAATTCTTCTCGATGCATAGCTCTCTTGTTAAATAACAAGAAACAGACTTTTCTCTTTTCAAGTAGAACAGCACTTGAAAGGAGAATACTTAAAGGCAAATTTCAGTCATTTAACCTGTATAAAGTCAAATTAAAAAATGTATGCGAATCCCAATCTACTATAGGATTTAATTAAAACATGTTTACATTTTTAGACCTAAATATATAAAACAAATAATTCTACAGCACATTATATTTTTATCAAAAATTCATTAAAAGAATTATAAATTCATAAAAAAACTCATAAAAAAATTAAGTGATACTTTAAGAACTTGCTTATTTTAAAACCTTTATATTCCCTATTTAAAAATTGTGCTATCAAATCATTAATTATTTTTGTTACACAATCGCTTTATTTAAATGAAATTCAATTAAGTTCTTTACCTACTAAAAACCATCCATTCATTAATCTTAAACTTGCATTTTAAAAAAAAAATAGTATATACTTATGTGATAAAAGGAATGCATCTTCATCACATTTTAAGGTAATAATAACATTATTAATTCCTCCTAAATCACGCGTCATAGAGTATTTCCTTTAGCATACTTTCAGTACCTAAATTAGTTACGACTAAATCTAAGAGATTCTATATCGTAAAATAAACTTTTATTCGCAATCTTCGATAAGTAAAGCACAGCATCTGTGCAACACTAATTAACACTAATGCAGTTAAAAATAAACTTAACCCTCATACACCAATTACATCCCTTGCCTTATCTTTCTTTATGAAATCTGAAAGATTTCGAAGATTGTCTTTATACATATTTCAAAATGGTTCAGTCATTATTGCGCATTTTACCATTAAATAATTCTTATTGTCAGCATTTCAAAATAAAATTATAACAAAAGTTACTTTAGTATTAGTATACATCAATTTTAATATGCTTTCAAGTTTTTAAAGGTTACTTTACACGCTTATCATTTGATTTAAAGTAAGATTGTTTGTAGTATTAAAATTGATTTTTATGCAAATGTCAATCTTTATTATCAAATTTTTGAATATATATATATATAAATACGTGGGTGATTCTCACGAAATATGAAAATTTACAGTCTCTTGCTTCAAGATCTAATACTATACTACTAATCGAACTTTTTTTTTAATTTTAGTGAATAGCATTGCTGTTAGTATTTTAAAATGACCTTGTACTAGCATTAACTGTTTTTTATAATTAAAAAATTTAATTGAACTTCAAAATGTCATTTTCCTGGTATGTCCCAAACAATGTTGCCAATAATAACTAGCTTCAAAACATCCCATAAATTTTATAGTATCTAATTTTTTTTATCTCAATCGTTGTAAGCATTTCTGGAATGTATTTGGAGGGTATTATTTACAAAAACTTTGCTGAATATAATTTTTTCTGTCAATAATTTGTTTGTCACAAGAAAATCTGTCACTTTCCTGGCTACTTTTATTTAGTGATTTATAATCAAAATAGATAGAGCCAGCAATCAATAGCCTATGTTAATAGATTGATTAAAATNATATATATAGTGAATTATCTATTATCTAAAATTAACTAAATTCTTTTACAGGAGTTTATCATAAGCACATATATAACTTAAATGTCAACAGATGTGAAAAATAATATCACAAAGAGCTTCTACAATTTAATTTCTTTTAAAACTAAACTTTGATGGGAAAAAAGATGTACTGATATCCTTTGATATAAGTCATAAAAATTTTATTATTGACTAGAAATAAGTTTTATTACATAGTCAAATATGTTCTTTTTAAAAATACTAGTGCAAAACTTGAAAAATAAAAATATTTATTTTGACCAAACAAATTTAAAATATTTACAAAAATTCAAGTGCTAAGTATGAATTTAAGCAACATTCGATACTCCCACCAAATACAATGTTTTATCGAAATAGATTTAATAGAAAGGTAGGTATTTTATTTACGTTGCACTAGAGCTGCACAATGGGCTATTGGCGACGGTCTGGGAAGCATCCCTGACGAGATGATCCGAAGACATGCCATCGCAATTTTGATCCTCTGCAGATGCGATGGCTCCCCTACTTTGGTAGCCCGACGACCTGCGCGAGAAGTCGAGCACTTTACAGTAAAACTGTTTTACGAGGACCGATACCGCGCACTCTCTGTCCTTATGAATGCTGATGAAAGTGATCACCCACCCTCTTGCTGAACTGACCACAGCCAGTGAAACTTGATTTTGGCGCTCTACTGGGATCTGTGTCTTTACGACAAGTCAATTGTGGGGCAAATTTAATAAGACTCGTGTAATCTTGAGTGGCAGGTGAAAAAATGTGAATTGAGAATAACAGATTTAATGACGAATCTTGGTAGAAATAATTTTTTACAAAATATTTGCTCAGAAAATAATTTTTTAAAAAACGTGAGTAAGTGTTTGTACTTCTCCTTTTTTTGAACTAGGTGTCGTACCTTATTTTCTTAAACTAGGTGTCAAATTTCTCAGAATAGTGCAGGTCATAATTTTTAACGTTTTTCTGTGTTCATGGATTATTAGATTTACGAAAGCTCTATTTAAAAAACACTCCACATTAAAATAATCGGTGTTTTTATAATCTCTCACCATAGAAGTCCTGATAGACCTATAAACCACGCTTTTCTTATTAAATGTACGTGTGAGTTTACACCAGTGATTAGGCGTTGTACAACCTTAGCAATTGTTAATAATGCTGCACACCAAGCGGTAAAAATGACGGTAATAGCAATAGCCAGAGCAATAAATATCCACAACTGCTCATTGCAACTTAAGTTTAGTTTGCAATGTTTTCTCGAGCACAAAATGATTTTAGTTAAAAAAGATAAAGTGAAAGGATAATTAAAACTTATATTTGACTTTTCTCTTAAACTGAAATTCTCTTCATGAAACACTAAACATGGAAATGATCTTTATATCCAGATTCCTTAAAAATACAAAATAGAAGTTCTAATGACTTATAAAATAGGTTTTCTTGCTTTTGTGTTCTTGCTAATTTACATCATTTATTAGTTGTCTACAAACTTAAGAAAAGTGTAGTTTTGCATTCCAAACGATTATTGTTTAGGTAATAATATTAACTATAACAGCAAATATTCGTAACACCTCATTGCTAATAACTTGAGTTATATTGTGTTGTTAGACGACACTCTAACATATAAAATAATATTTATAGATCAAAAAGATATCTTTATCTTGTAAGTTATCTCTTTAGTTAACTTATAAGATAAAGATAACTTATAGAGTAAAAAGATTACTAAAGTGATAGCTTATGAGATAACTTATNTTGCTAATAACTTGAGTTATATTGTGTTGTTAGACGACACTCTAACATATAAAATAATATTTATAAATCAAAAAGATAACTAAAGAGATAACTTACAAGATAAAGATAACTTATAAGATAAAGATAACTTATAGAGTAAAAAGATTACTAAAGTGATAGCTTATGAGATAACTTATAGCTTATGATAACTATAGCTTAACTGATAACTTATATAGAAGATAACTTATAGAGTAAAAGGATAACTAAAGAGATAACTTAAAAGATAAAGATAACTTATAGAGTAAAAGATACTTACCTCAGTTATAACTGTATTCGTATCCCCTAACCAAGTTCTATTATAGTACCATCCATGATTGCAAACTTCAATTACGCCTCTAGATAAAGAGCGTTTACTAAATGTTTTCCTGTGCTCATGGATTATTAGATTCACTAAAGTTCTATTTATGAAACACTGAGCATGGAAATATTCTGTGTTTCTGTATTCTCTCACCATAGAAGTCCTGATGGTCCTGTACACCAAACTTTCTTGGTTTTGTATTCTAGATAACTTGCACCAATGATTAGGTGTCCACAAACTTAACAGTTGCGAATAGTGTTGCATCCCAAACGGTAAATGTGACGGTAACAGCACCAGCCATAACAGCAAATGTTGATACCGGCCTTGCTCGCCAACTTTTTTTAGTTCACTATCGATTTTCAACATGTTAAGAAAAATGAAGAAACTTGCGCATTCATTTGGAAGTCAAAGTTTTTTATTTTCATCGTTTACCCATTCTGGGCATAAAAGATTCATCAGCAAAAGATTCAAAGGTTTGCAAAACAGGGCGCTTTCAAAAAAAATTTCGCTCCTGTTTTTATCGGAACCTTAGGTGGGTTAGTCGAGCGGTTATAAATGAGAGAAGGGATGTAGTGGCCGATGTTTTCGTCAGATTGATAGGTGCGTGACAGGTAAAGGAGCGCCCTCTTTTACATGAACAAAGCTCTGTATGAAGAAAAGATTAATCGGTGCTTCTATTCGAAGATTCTTTTTTCTCCTCGTGGAAAACTTCTCTTATGAGTCCCAGAGTTATTGAAAAAGTTCATCAGAACTGCTTACGTATACGAAAAAATGATGTTTTTTTTACTTAAATATAAAAATAAGGCTGTATTTTCTTTTTGTAGTTATTTCGAAATAAAAAGAGGCGTAAAATTTCAGAATTAATGTATTTATCTGAAAAAGGATCGATTATTTAGGATTCTTCGAGCAAATATATTCGCAACCCACCAATTTCGAAAGAAAAAGAATATATCAAATTATAAAAAAAGAACAGGCACTCATTTAAAACGTGATTTGAATAATAGAGGTATATTACTTGGTGGAATTAATAGACTCGCAATTATGGAAATTATTCTTCAAAACTGCGATAGAATTTTTTGTTCTTTTCGTTGTTGTTTTGAAATGAAAAGAAAAGTAACGTTTCATAATTAATGTATTCACCTAAAAAGTAAATCCTTTATTTTGGATTTTTCTTGCAAATATATTTGTAACACATCAAATTCGCTAGAAATATAACAAAATATTAAAAAAAACATACAATCAATTAAAACCTGGTTGAATTTAAAGAAATTTGCTACCTATGTTAATGCTAAAGTATAGAAAATATTTTTAGAACAATTGCATATATATATATATATATATATATATATGTATACAGTCAAACCTCTCTATAGTGAACTCCCGAATATAGTGAACGAAATGTTCGGTCCCGTGCCTTGCTATACACGGATAATGTTATTTTTGGTGGATATAGTGAACCAAAAAAGTGAGGAAGTTGGATATAGTGAACTTCTTTCTGTCTTCGACTGATTTTTTTAAAACATTTTTTGTAATACTTTTGANAGTGAACTCCCGGATATAGTGAACGAAATGTTCGGTCCCGTGCCTCGCTATACACGGATAATGTTATTTTTGGTGGATATAGTGAACCAAAAAAGTGAGTGGATATAGTGAACTTCTTTCTGTCTTCGACTGATTTTTTTAAAACATTTTTTGTAATAATTTTGAAATTTCTACTTCAAATTAAATACATATACCGATTTTCAAAACCATCTATAGAGGGGAATGTGGCGATAAGCATCTTTTCTTGTTTTGCTTTTTTTTATCTCACCTTCCCATCCCTAAACAAACTGAGCAGATGTTTCCAACCCAGGCAGACAATGCATCAGTAAGGTGTCAGCGGGATTAATATGCATTTTTTTCAGAGGGAATGAGTAATTATTCATTATTGGTCAAAGAGTTGGACACTAATATGCGTTGATATGGCCCGCATTTCAACTCCTTTTTGCTCTCAGTTCAGTTAAAATAAATCCTGCAAACAAGTATCTCAAATTTAACTATGGTTAGCAGTAAACGTAAAACGTTCTCCATTGATGATAAAATGGGCATAATAGCATAATCAGAAAAATTGAAAATGGATGCTATAAATTCACTATAGCGGGGTTGGACTGTGTGTATATATATATATATATATATATATATAAAGAAATAGGCTGTAATTAAATTTTAAGTTAGATATAGATTGCAAAATATTGCCGTAAAAGGATTTATTTTCCCTCGTCAAATTTTTTTTATAATTTTGTTTTCAATTGAGCACTGTTACAAAGTGTTAGCATAATTCATATACATCGCAGACATAGTTTATAAATTGACTGAATAATTTACAAACTAGAAAGGTATTTTACTATAGATTTAAAAAAAAAATGTTTTATAAATTATATTTTACACTTACGCTTAATATGGGTGCAATTTACAAACAACTTAAGCTTATATTACAAGCTATTGCATTAAAATATCTTGTTACCTTCAAAGCGTCTTTATAAACATCTTTTAAATATTTTAAAAGGAGATTAGTAATTGTTAGGTGTATTTTACGAACAAGTTAGGCATAAATAAAGAAAGGTTTAAGCAGAGTTAATTGCAATTAATTGTAAATTACAAACATTTACAAAAAATGTGTTATGCATGAAGTATAATAATATAACTTTTTATTATTTTTTTACAGAAAACGAACTAACGTTAATTAAATGAGAAATAATTTTTGTTCCTGTACAAATTTTGGTTCTCTAAAGTATATTTCAACATTTTTCTTAAAATAAACGGAAGAATTAAGGCATATTTAGATACTACAGAATAAATCGAAAGGGCCGTTGATGCCTTCGCCTTTTTGGGTGTTCAAAAATTTGAAATCGCGAAGTTTCGTAGAAAAATATACAGGGAGTACAACGAAATAAAAAAATGACATTCGATAATTTGTTCGAGAGTTATTAACTGTTAAACATATAGGGAAAAATATCATACGAGCCAATCTACAAACCACAGACAAATATTGGCTTTACTGTTTCAACTACTAAATATCAATTCTGAAAATTAGGAAAATAGTCATAGAAAAACAAATATTCCATGTTTCTAAAAATTTATTTGGAAATAAAGAACTAAAGTTAAAAAAATTAAATGTTTATGGTTATTAAAGCATGGGCCGAGGTTTTAAATTTAATTTCCCTTCTCACCTTGTTTGGGGTACGGAAAATAGTTAAAGTTTAAAAATTGAAAAACTCTGATAATGACATTTTTTGAAGATTATTAAAAGAAAAAATACATTCTAACCTTTTGCAGTCACCTCTCTTGCTTTTTCTAAGAATTCAATTTCAAGGTACCTTTTGGAGTTTTAAATCAGAAAAAAGCAGTGAAAAAGCAACCTATTTTTTTTCTTGGAAAAAAAACCCTACCATATGCTACAAAATTGAATCTCTGTGAAATTCTAGGTTTAAAACAAAATTCCCAAGCTGCAAATCGATCGGTTTTTAAAATTTTAACTTCAAAGTTGTATTTTTTTACAAACACTAACAAAGTAACAAAATATTTTAATCTCTTTGGATAACATTTTCAATTATGGTTACTTTAAAAGTAATTTAAGTTTCTTCTTATTTTATATGAATACTAAAAGTTTACATAATTTTTGGTTAAGAAATAAATTAAAAAAACGTTAAAAAAATTGTATAAAAACTTACAGCAAATATATGTGATAGGGTATGCATTTTCCCACCCAAACATTTAGTTTTAGTTCAAAAGATAATAATAGGGATACTTGTAATATATATCATGTGCAAATGGTGGATATTTCATTATAATTATAAATTTTATTAATATTATAATAATAATTATAATATTCATTAAAACTATAATTCGCATTATAATTTTTTTCAAAAATATTTCTTCCACAAATTGCTGTTTTTAGTTCAAAAAACATCGACAGTTGGCTCTGCGGATAAAAAAACCTACAAGACAAAGCACAATAATTAAAAAAGACTATTAAAAAAACTTTTTTCAAAAAATGCCCCATGATAATATGTGGTTTGCTAATAATATAGTTGATATCTCAAAATTTCGTAATGCAATTTTTATTCATTGAAAGTTATTGAAACAATAATGAAGTATTTTTAAATTTTATTTCTTTTATTTACATGCTACGTGCAGGGTACTTGTCGACGCAATTTTAAGCTGAAACCAGGAATTCTCGAGAAAGATATTATACTCTATCACATGATCTCTCTTCAAGAATCCTTGTTATAACTGCAACTGTTTCCGTGAATTTTTGAAAACAATCAGTGTAAATTAGGTTATTAATTTTATTATCTAGCACAAATCTAGTTTTCAGGCCAACCCAAAGTAACTGACAAATCAAAGTTGTTTCTGAACATGAATATGGACGCGCCTTAAAAAATATATCCCACTATCTTCTATTTATATTTTAATTTCACATTTGGTTAGTTAGGAAAATATTTTAAAGTTATTATTGCAAGATATTCGCAAGTACACGAGATCTGTTTTCTATTCTCACTTTATATGTTCTCATATGATCCTATTTGTGGTTTGTTTTGTGTATTTTCCTGGAATTCTTGTGAATTTACTTGATAAAACTTTATTGACGAATTTATTATTATTTCATCGGTGCTTCTCTAACTATTGAATTGATATATTTTGCTTTGGCTAGATTAATACACTATCAGAAAGCACCGTTTTTGTGGATATAATAGTGCGAACTGATAGCAAGATTACATCTCATCGTTGCTTTATTTTCTAACTTTTATTAAGTATCAAATTATTTAAAATAATCAATTGATTTCTTTGAATTTTTATCTTATATAATGGTTTTATGAACTCGCAGCTTATGCGCAATTAATACAACATAATAAAACCCAAGCTCTCTTAATTTTTCTTTGCAAATTTATCTTTTTTTTCTCTAAGACAGAGAGAAAGTATGACAATCTTGATTGAATCAAACGGTCTTAATTGGTAGAAGAAATTAAGACAGACAAATCAAATTCAATCTAGCAATTAAACTATAACAAATACTTTTAATCCTACCTTCTTTCGAAGTTATTTTAATGGCATTTTTCTTAAATTCCCTTAAGTATTAATTTGGCACTCCTGTTTTCATTCAATTTTTGACCTCAAAAACATACACAGTGTTCTGTAATCATAGCACTTATAATCTATAGTTTTACTTAAATATTCCTTACTTTACATGCAAAAAAAATGTTTGTTTCTTCAAACATTAATTTCTAAAGAAATTTTTATTTCAAAAGTAATAGTTTTTTGTCATAGTTCTGCATTGCCATTATATGAAAATACAATCAGATGTTAAAAATATATCTAAGTCCCTTTTCCCAAAGCAAAAAGAAAAATGCTGTTTACAAAAAATACTAGTTCTATTTGTGTTTGGCATTCGCAAGTCGATTTGCAAAAACCCTTTTATATCAAAAATGACCACTAATTACCAGTTTTCGAAGCAAAATAAAAATATAAAATTCTTTTGATCGAATGTTGTCCGTTTACGTGAGTCAAAGAAACTCTCGGCGGAATCCAAATTCTCATGAAATAGCCTCCGGAAAATAACTTTTAAACATCGTCAGATTGTTATCTAAACGGTTGCATGAAGGAAATTTTTTTAGTTTTGGAAAAAA